CTACCATCAGCACCTCACCGAATCCAAAGAAAACGCATCAACGTTGGCGACCAGGTAGAGTTCCACCCGCCTCAGAGCACGACAGACGCGTCGGGCTGGGCGGCGCCTGGCCCGGTCGTCTCCGTGGATCGGGCCAGAGGCAAGGTCGCGGTCAAGTACCGCCACGCCGAGATGGTCTGCAGATAGCAGGACGCGCGGGCCTTCATCGGCGCGGTCTTCCACGACAGTGGCACCGGCATGGCGCGAGCGGGCCTTGCCTGGGATCGTGCCTAGAGCACATTACACCAGGCTCCAGGGCCAGGACAATCGGCAACATGGAGGGCGCGAAGGGCGCGACGCTGACCGAGCATGCTCGGCAACGACCCGACATCCCCGAGGCCCTGCACCACCTGTCCCGCAGGTGACTTCAGTTGCCAGACGTCCGTGCAGCACGTCTCGTACACAGCCAGAATCCTGTGGACGACTGGCCAGGCTGCGCCCGCAGCTCGGTCATCCGGCGGCTTCCTCGGAACCAAAGCAACATCCAACAGCTACACCTGGACCGCGGCATGGTCGACGCCCACCCGCTCATCGGCGAGAAGTGAAGGAAAATTCTCGCCATGCAGTTCGCGCTGGGTGGCGAGCCGCTGCTTGCAGCGGACGCCGGGCAAGACCGAGGCGGGGCGCTCGATGGCCATGTCACCGACGCCCCTAAGGCGCCGCCTGCGTCGCCGAGGGCGGTTCACCATCAGCCCCGCCGGCAATGCCCACAGACGCCGGCAACGATTTCCCCGGCCACATCCAGCAGGCAGTCCGGCAGGAAGCCGAGGGGGCAGAGGGTCTGACCCAGGCGCTACACGGGCTCGAGAGCGCCGACGGCCAGTAACATATCTCCGCTGCAATCGAGCACGCCGCGGCCGGCCACGGCCGCATGCCGCGCCATTTCTCTCAGCGCCTGGAGATTCAGCGCCAGCGCCGCAGCATCCGCGCGCAGTGCCACTTCTACCTGCGCGGCGCTGCCGCGGTCGATTGCGCCGCGCTCGAGGAGGAGGATAAAGGGGGGGAGCGCGCGGAGCTGCACCTGCACCTGGGGGCGCGCGAAGCATTCCTGGGCTGCGGCGAGGAACCGCCAGACACGTTTTCAGATGAATGCACCGGGAGGGATAGCACGGCAAAACTACCAGGAACATCTGGCGCCGCACGGCGCTGAGAAGCCTCCGCGACACGGACCGCCGCAAGTTTCGGAACGCTCGCCGGGGCGACGAGGCGACCGTCGCAGCGCGCGCTGTCTTCAGTGGCGGCGCGTCGCTCGGACTGGACGCGCGTCGCAGTGGGCGTCGAGAGGGCGTTCTTGCGAGGCGTGACCTACGCCGAGACGCAGGGGCAGGGCGGGGCGCCCGCGAGGCCATCCTGAGACGGGCGCCAGGCTGCGAGTCCTTCGACGAACGGACCGAGCGCCTGCGCTGCATCAACTTGGGCACGGGACGCAAGGATGCGCCCAGGGCCTTCTCCACGGAGCTCGCCCGGGCCACGCGCGCGCCGGGGCGCGGCATCGAGCCGGCGACGCGGGGCCAGGTGCTCGAGGTCAAGCACGAGACGCCTGGTGCCCATGGCGCCAGCGGCTCGGAGTTAGCACTCATTCTGCCCAGGCAAGTTGGCGATCTGAGGATCGCCCCATGACCGTCTGATCGACCACGTCGAGAGCGCCTTCGGCAAAATCAAGGGGATCTACGACGATTTCAACAGCTGCAGAACACACCAGCACCGCAGCGCCGACGGAACAGCGACGCTCGACCAGGACGAGAACATCGACGCCCTGATCCCCATCAGGCACGTCGACCTGGCCAAAGCGAGGGCCGACGAGCCAGCAGGAAGTCAGCTTCCAGACCTCTTTGTCTCCCTCCTTGGGGCAGCAGCATACGCTCTGCTCGCGCAACGCCGCGTCGCCGCGTGCGTCGTCGCAGTGCAGAGGCCCAAGAATAAGCTGCTCACCCGTGACGCGATTCAGCTCTATTCAGCAGTTCTGACCACAGTTAGTGGGCTCATCACCTCCCCAGAAATGGAGCGCGCTGGACGACTATGCGCACTCGGCGACGGGTCGTTAAAGCGGGAGGAGAAGACCAGGTATGGCATCAGAGGGGCCGTATACATGCTTTTGGGCAAGCGCTGCAGCATGTGGTAAACAGGCATGCCCCTTGCTCGACGCCGTGAACCGATCGCACAAGCTGGTGCGCCGATCATCGCAGAGCTGGTCGCAGCCCGCGGCGCAGCTGACGGCTTGCAAGCGCAATTTTCTGCCGCTCCGCGAGATGGCACGCGGGCCCGCCTCAGCTGAGCAGACGCGGACCCACATCAGCTGAGGGAGAAGGGGGGGGGCGCAGTGCCAGCCGAATTGGTAGTCGACGCACGTCCGTGTACGGCCCTGGCCATGGATCCTGTTTTACCCCCACTTGAGAACAGCATGGCCGAACACATGTGGTGCTTGTCAAATCAGCTGCCCACCATGCCGATCGACGACATACTGCGGCGTGACGCCTGGGACATGAGAGCTGACCCCATGACAACGGGGAGTACCCGCTGAGATCTCACCCTGAGCATCATCGACGGCAAGCTCAGATACCAAGCTGAGCGAGGATAAGTATAAGAAGACCGTACCAGGCTCACAACATAGTGATCTCACCGTCAAGGACAAGGGCAATTAAAATGGTTGAACCAGCCGCAAACGCTAGAGTATGCAAACGCTGTGTGTAGACACGTTTATGGACACGCTGTGGGTGGGCATTTTTGTGCAAACGTTGTGGGCGAACACGTGTATGCAAATTCTGTGGGTGGACACTTCTACGCACACGTTGTGGGTGGACATTTGTTATGCAAACGCTGTATGCAAGCGCTGTATGTGTTTGCTCTTGGGTTGGCGCCATCTTGAGTTAACCATTTGCTTTTGGAGTGGTGCCAGCTTGAAATAACCATTAGCTATTGGGGTGTGCTCGAGGCCCCAAGGGGCCCGACGACAACCCACCAGAGGAGCACATCGCCTAATTTTTCGGGCAATAAGAACGGATATCAAGAGAGTGGTAGAGCATGCAAGTGAGAAGCTCGTTGCCCCCGCTAACTAAGTTAGCGGAGTCGCTGACGAGGTGACAGTTGAGCATGCCAAACGAGTGCTGCTTCCGTCCAGTAGTTACGTGGATGGAGCGGCGGTACCCATTGAGGGTTGAGCTTCGTCTAATTGTCTGCTGCCCGCTAGTTTGCATTTGTATGTGTCCGCGCTGGTCCGTTGTGTTTCGGGGTCCTTCATGGGAAAACCAACTGGGGAAGCCACCGAGGCACGACGGACCCGCCTGACTACCAGACTCGAACGATCGGTCTTCATGGTATGCAGGGTACGGTAGGTATGTTACCCTTTTGGCTGTTTGGGTCCAAGTGGCCACCAAATGCGCCCGCTCGAATACACGCTTGACCCGTCTTGCATTTCACCCGAAACAAAGGAACCTGTTTTCCTTACCGTTCAAAATTCTCAGTGCCCTCCTCCACTTCCTCCTCCTCCTCCTCCTCCTCCTCCTCCTCCTCCTCCTCCTCCTCCTCCTCCTCCTCCTCCCCCTCCTCCTCCTCCTCCTTACCGGGCAGGAGCATCAGGGGGACCGGGGAGGAAGGTGGAACGCGGAGATAGGATGTGCAGGGCGGCGGGAGGAGGACATGGGGCGTGGGGCGAAGGTTAGTGAGTGGAGGAGACGGGAAAAGGGATGAAGCCGCGTGGATTAGCGACGGTTCCCGCTTCCGTACAGAATCGGCGCGTTTCGTCTCCAGACGAGGCGGCACTGGCCTCGTGTTTACCCCGTCTCCGATCCCTGGATCCCGAATTCATTCATGTTACCGTGTGCCCGGGGAAGTGGAGATGGGCGGGGCGTGGTTATCCGACTCCTCGCGCCCCCTGTGTGGTCACTGGCGCGGCAGGGCAGGTGGCGGAGAGGAGCGGCGCTTCCCCGTGGTCGGGGGGGGAGGACGACGACAACGAAGAGGGACGGCGGGCAAGGCCAGGACGAATTCGTCAAAGCGCGAGGGCAAGCCGGTGGCTGGTCTCTCGATGTGTCGTTTCTTCTGTCACGGCCCAGGCTGCGCCAGCTCGACCCAGATTTGGCCGCGAAATCCTAAAAAGTTGCAGACGGGGGTGGGGACGGCGAGGGCGACGGAATGCGAACACTGGGGCCGTTTCGAGGTCATGTGCCATCTGGCGTACACCGCAAGACATTGTAGCGTTGTGCATCGCGTCGGCGTATCGGCGTTGCAACATCGACCCGTCGTCGGCCCCCGTCTTAGTGAGGGCTGGGCGAGGGAGCGTAGCAATGTCCTGTGGGAGATGTTCGAGCCTACTGCTTGGTCTATCGCTACTGCTACGGTGCGAGTTCTTCGGCCCGCCAAGATCTTGTGTGTGGAGGGTGATGCCACCGCTTTGAGTGCGAGCAAGACGTGTCCTACGCAATACCGGCAACTTCGGAGCCCGCTGTCTCGCATTCGCGGACCACCTGCCACTCGCCCTTGCCGCGGCTCAAGGTCGTGTTGTCATGATGCACCTTCGGCGCGCCTTGTGGAAGACGGCATGCCTCATGCCTGGCCTGCAACCCAGCTCATTGTAGAATTGATCATATAGCGCGAAAGGTCGGCGTTAGATTCCTACTGTGATGGGTTCCTACATTGCCCTGAAGAATTGGATTCCTCCCCCAGTCCTCCTCGTGCCAATTATCTGTTCTCCTCCCTGCTGATCCCTCCTCTCCCCTCTTCCGTCCCTCTCATTCCTTCCTTCCCCCCGCATCCCTCCCTCCTCCTCCTCCTGTTCCTCCCTGTCCCTCCTCCCGTCGTTTCCTCCCTGTACATCCCCATCTCTCTCCCGCTCATGGCTGCTCCTCCTCTCACATCCTTCATTCTTCTAGTCCCACATCATCCCCGCACCTCTTCCTCCCTCCCTCCCTCCCTCGCTCCCTCCGTCTCTCCCCTCCCTGCTTGCCTCACCCCCCGCAGCCCAGGTTTCCTCAAGCCGAAGCAGTTCAACGCGTGGGACACGGACCCGACCAGGGGGGTCTGCGTGGCGGGGCGGGGCCCAGGATGGGAGGGGAGGACAGGGGGAGAAGAGGGAGGGGGCAGGGGTAGAAGAGGGAGGAGAGGGAGGGGTGAAGAGGGAAGTAGAGGGGAGAAAAGAGGGAGGGGGCAGGGGGAGAAGAGGGGAGGAAGGGGGGAGACGAGGGAGGGGAGGAGAAGGGGAGGAGAGGGAGGGGGATGGGGAGGCGAGGGACGGGTGAAGGGGCAGGGGGAGGAGAGCGAGGAGCGAGCGGGGGAGGGAGGGGGAGGAAGGGAGGGAGGAAGCACCCGACTCCTGCTCGTGCTCGTCGTCGCCGCCGTCGTCGCCGCCGTCGTCGTCGTCGTTCTCGTCGCCGTTCTCGTCGCCGTCCTCGTCGCCGTCCTCGTCGTCGTCGTCGTCGTCGTCGTCTTCATCGTCGTCGTCGTCTTCATCGTCGTCGTCATCATCCTGCTCCTCGCAATCGCTCTGCCCATTCTCCCCATTCTCCGTGCTCGTGATCGCGCTGTTCCTCCTGGCCCCGATCCTGCCCTTGCCCCCCCTGCCCTCCCGCTGCCCCATCCTGGCCCAGGGGCGAAGGGGAGGAGCGCATCCTGGCGCCGACGCGGACGTATCCAGTGAGGGGGTCTGCCGGCGAGGCCGCCGATCGATGTTTGGGGGGGGGGGTCCCTCGCGCGAAGAAGAAAAAACGGCATAAACATAAACGTGTGGCGCTCCGCGCGGATCTCTTGGATCCGTCCGCGCCAACAGTTTATGTGTATGCCGTGTTTTGTTCCTCTACCCGCGCTGCCTTTCCTGAGCAAAGCCGCTGATATGTTCCAGGCACGGTTGAAGGTTTGATGGCCTGCCACGTGATCGCGCCCTGGTGCGAGTTGCTCTTCCGATGCCTTTCCTCTGCCCCGCCGCTTGCAGCAGCACCCGGCCTCTGTGCCAACCGGGCTTGGCGTGGCGCAGCTCCCTCCAGGAACGAGCATCGAGCCTCAAGAATCTGGGATTGAGTTTGGCTTCACCTCTTTGGGGTTTCCTGGGCTGGGCTTCTCGTCGCCATGGGCCGGATTTCATATCGGACCCCACACCAAGTCTTCGTCACGACGCGCGAACACACAATAGTTTGCGTCCCTGCCTCGCGCGCGCAGCGTCGAGGCGTAGAAGGTCCGAGGTCAAGAAGGGGGAAACGCGCGCGGCCAGCCCACTGAGGAACCAGGGACAGGGACCCACACGTGGAGATCAGCACACACACACACGCACGCACGCACGCACGCACGCACACACACACACACACACATACACACACACACACACACACACACGCACGCACGCACGCACGCACGCACGCACGCACGCACGCACGCACGCACGCACTCACGCACGCACTCACGCACGCACGCACGCACGGACACACACACACACACACACACATACACTCTCTCTCACACACACGCACGCACGCACGCACGCACGCACGCACGCACACACACACACACACACACACACGCACGCACGCACGCACGCACGCACGCACGCACGCACGCACGCACTCACGCACGCACTCACTCACACATGCACAAATACACACACATGTTTTGCGCGGTCATGGCTCCGCGCGCGGCGACGAGGCAGAGCAAATCGAGCAGTCGGAGCGAGCGCGCGCGCGCGGCATGGCCCTCAGACGCGGATCCACCTTGGGTTGACCGCACATACCAATCAGGCAGGGTTGGGAGTAAGAAGATTGAGGCAACGGCCGAAGACGGAGACGGCGGCACCCGACAGCGACACCGACGCGGGGGAAGCGAACCGGGCTGACACCTGAAAAAGGGGTGGAGAGACGGGCGACGGGGTACCCGCGCAAGCCCAAAGACGGAAGCAGGTTGGGGAACAACGACAGCACTATCGCAGGCAGAGGCGAGGCTCCTGCTAAACGCTTGGAGTGAGGGAGAGGGCGACTGGGCCGCGAGAGGTCCTGGGGAAGGGGCCCGCTCTGGCGCGGCGGCAGGCCCCGCAACACCAGCTGCCCCAAGATGGCATTCCCTGGCTGGGAGATGGGCAAGGGAAGAATGGAGCCGACCGTCGGCGTAGACGTCGGGGTCCAGCATGGCCTCCTCGCTGTCGCCCGCGCACGGCCCCGTCATCGATGGCCCGGTCCTTCCAGGGAGGAGTGCCCTGCGCGGCGTGAGCAGCATGGCCCGCGAGCACGGCGGAGACGCGCCCGAGGAGGCTACCGCGGCAGGCGCGGTCGCCCGCGCGCACGGGAGGAGCGCGCAACGGGCCCGGCGAGGGCCGGCCTGCTTGGCCGGGCGGGCCACGGCAGGGCCGCCACGCGGCCCGCCAGCACGCGCCCACGTCCCACGAGAAGATGACACCCGCGTGAACCATGGCCGTCTTTAAGAGGGCGGCATTCATCGTCAACGCCAAGAAGTTCGTCTACTGGCGAGGGGCCTTGCCCCGATGGCGTCTCTCGCGTGGAGAGAGCCACCGGGACGGGACGGCTGCCGCGAGGAAGCCCGGTAATTAGAGGGACTTGGACGTCAGCCATAACCGAGGTCCTTGCACGCGTGCGCAATATCTCTCTCCTGCTTACTTTTCTTCGCCCACCCGACAGGTTGGGGTCGTTCGACTTTCAGAACAGACCTCCCGACCCGTCCACCCTGCATACCGCGGCCGCCAGATCCCCAGGTCCTCCGAGTGTCCCCGAGAGTCCCGCCTCGCGCCACTCTGCATACCGCGGCCGCCAGATCCCCGGGTCCCTCGACCGTCCCCGCATGTTCCGCCTCGCGCCGACAAGTCATAACATGACAGAGCCTTACTATAAATAGCAGAACATATTGCAGCGCAACGCTGTAATTGATGACAGAACAGACCATAACATCACACAACAGAACATGTCCGATCATAACATACCATATCATGACATAACATATCGTAACAGAACACACCATGGCAGGGCTGTGCGTAGCATAGCACAGTATCACAGCACGGATCACCCCATAACACGACAACGCAAGCATAGCAGAAGAAGACATCGCAGCGACGACCGTACAAAACAGAGCATCGCACAGCCTCGCATAACATGTCATAACATGTCATAGCACAGCACCGCATAACAACGAGTGTTGTGACAGATCGGGGCAAACAACACGT